GGTGATACATCGTACTACCAGCTGTTTTGCCCTGAAGGTGTGTCCACCCTGGCTAGGGCCTGCCTTGGGCTGGAGCCCGTCTTAAGACTTTGGCAGTTGTTCCCCCTAAGCCCACAAGAGGGCACCTGACATCACAAAGCTCAGGTACCACCGGCATCTGCTCCAAACTCAGGACTCCTGCCCAGGGCCTGCACCTCTCAGCCCTGGGCAAACCTCCCAGGGTCAGGGAAGGCCTGGCAGCCTGGAAGCCGGCTAAGTCCTCCACCCCACCGACAGGTCCCAGGAACCCATAGTGCTGTCTGATCTTCCTTGCCCTTTCAGCCTTCAGTCTCCTTAGGAAAGGGGCAGGTCACACACCATGGCCTCTCTGGCCTCCAACCTGCTCCTCCTCCCATCAGCTGTTCAGTGCTCAAGCGGGCTGCTAGGCCTTGGGCAGAGGCAGCTGTGCTGAGACACTTCAGTCCAACTTTAGTTTTTGGAACCCCTCCTCCGAGTTAACACTGGGCCCCAGCAGACAGCAGTGACACCGACCTGAGCCTGGAGGCTACTCCTCTGTGACGTTTCTGTCGCGCTCTGCCCTGTGGGGAGTAGAGACCGTGCCAAGGGCTGATTGGTGATATATCTCAGCCCTTTCCCCAAAACACCCCAGCACACGTGTGCTCATTACGGAGGCAGCCCTCTCGCCCCTCCCCTTCCAGCCATCCAGCCACCCACCCACTCTTGCAGGCGAGAATCCTGCAGGGGCCAGGCTCTCCCTCCTGGGTAAGGCTCGTCTATGACACACCCTCCAGTGCCTGGCAACTAGGAGGTGCTCAGCAAATGACCATTTCCCCACAATCTTTTATTAAGAAAAATTCCAAACATACAGTAAAGTTGAAGGAACAAGTACACTGTTCACTGAAATACCAGCCACTGCAGATTCAACAATGAACATTTTGGCCTTATTTGCTTTGTGTATTTTGAGGGGAATCATTTGGAATTAAATTACACATTTTTTGAAGGCATTCACCTACATAATTCAGCATCTATCTCCTAAGAATGAAGACATTCTCCCATGAACCTTGGTACCATTAGATGGCTATTAAGAGAATGGTTGTTCTTAGGGAGGGGCTCATGTCCAGGAACCTCATAAAGTGTGATAGGCCCTTAGCAGAGTGGGTAGAATCTGCTCCCCAGTTCCCTCACATCCTCTCCCATCCCAGAAAGGCAGAACAGCGGCAACATGGGATTCTGGAGAGCTGTCAGGATGGAGTATGGAAAACACAAGCTCCACTTGGGAAGCCCCGACAGCCTCAATCCCACCCCCACACCAAGAGTGGGCAACCTGGGTCCAAATTCAGGATACTGCAGCCGACAGGGGCTGCAGTGTGCCAGGTAGGAATGAAGTCACTGGGGGTGGGGGTGAGCACCAGCCCCTAGAGCCTGGAATAGCACCCGGCGTGGGCTACAGCCCTGCCCCACCCGACTCAGCTGCTTGGCTCACCCATGGCACTGCCAAAACAGCGGACTCAAGCTGCCAAGGTGGGCACACGAAGCCTCCGTTTCCAGGTCCAGGGGTCAGGCAAGGAGATCTCCTTCGGAGCTGGGCCCTGCCTTGCCAGCTTTGCTGGTGGAATTAAATATAGCACAGGGAGACACAGTTGCCAGGCAGAAGCAGGAGGTGCTGTGAATAGAACAGTGCCCTTTGTGGTGACAGAGCTACAGGGAGCCTGCTGTGACTGCCAGGACCTGCAGGGCAACTCCCCCGGCCCACAGTGGCCTCGGAGCTGTGTGGTTTTGTCCCTGCTTCACATGGGAAACATCTGAAGTTCAGAGGAAGCTGTTTCCTCACAATCACCCAGCCAGGCAGGAGAGCCTGAATGCAGTATAGAGGCACGTTCCTGCCACCAGCTCTCACAACAGCCCCAAGGTCTTCACCCCAGACGGGTCCGTGCCGAGGCCCAGGCTCCGAACCACCAAGTCTTCAGTGTTTCTCCGCTGGCCCTGCCTCATGTTTGCCCACTGGACTGCTGTGAACGCCCTGGCAGAGTAGGTGCTTCTGGAAGCATCTGATGGAGGGTGACTGCGGAGCCAGGGGCTGTGGCAGCAGGGAGATGGTCCAGCACATCAGGTGGGCCTGAGAAGGGTCAGAGCAGAGAGGGTGTGTAGTAGTCTCCCTCCAGAGCTTTCCCTTGCTGGCTCTGCAGGAGGCTCTGGAATGCTGCTCCGGGAGCCCGCTGGGCACAGGGACACAGGCCAGGCCTGCACTGCTGCTCCCTGCCTGAAGCTGCCCGCCCAGCCAACAGTTTGCCAACTTCTGTGAGCCTGAGCGGCTGGTTCTGGTTCAAGGGCTCCAAGCTGGCACAGCCCCAAACCAGGGCCTTTTCCTGGGCCTCAATGAAGCATGCCCGTGAGTCAGCACTGAGATGCAAACTGAGCAACGAGTGGAACGTGGGATGGGGAGCAGAGGCTGGAAGGAGAGGCCCACACCTGGAAGAACCCACATCCAGGGTTGCAGATCTTGGCCCCTGCAGATCTCTCCAGAGTTCCAGCACAATTACTCCACAGAGGAGGGCAGATTAGTTCCATGATGCGTGAGGCACACCTGACTTGCCACTCTCCCTCCACCCAGGCCTGACAGTCTGAGGACCAATTCACACACCTGGAGCCCCAAGTAGTAGCCTGAAGGAATGCTAAGGAGGTAGGTGAGGGAGTGGGGGCAGGCCCTTGCCCCCATTTCTTGATTGTATAACAACACTTCATTAAAATAAAATCACACAGTGCGTCTTTTATTAGACATTTTAATACCATATCAAAACACCTTGACTAATGAAGAAAGCTTTGCTCCCAAGCTTTGAACATTTTTTTAAACATTTTATGATTTTTTTTTTTGTATTTTAATATATAAATACAGAAACCTATCTTGCATGGGCTGATGCCACGTGTGAACATCAGTGGCTAAAATGTTCTCAAACATAGTGCCTGAAAACAGGGGTAGCTGTACATATTTCTTAGTAAGTCTTTTTTTTTTTTTTTTTTTCTGGAAAAAGAAATCCACAAGGGCCTAAGAATAATGTTCAGGCATTTTTGCAGGACACTTGTGATTGTTAAATCCTCTGAACTGACCAGAACCAGGAGGAAAGAAGGGAAAAGAGAAAGGATCAGTGGGAAGAAAGTTCTCGATGGGTTGTTTTTTGGCAATGAAGTGAAGATATTAGGCTCTCAAGGGGAGAAAAGAGCAAAACCAAGCCAGAAAAGTAGAGGGGAAAAAAACTAAACCCAAAGTAGAGAAGTTGGTGGCGGAGAGGGCCAGCTGGGGCAGGGGAAGAGACTGTGTGCTCGCCTGCCGTCCGAAGGCTGGCGGCGAGGGCTTGGCTGTGTTCGTCTGTCACTGAGAGGGTTATGGCTGGGCAGCAAACAGCAAGCTGTAAACATCACGAGGGAAAACACCAGTCGACACTAGACTTTTTTTTATATAATTTTTTTTTTGTAAACACTTTAAAGACAGACCCACAATGCCTTTCAAAGGTGAAAAAGAAAATGCCCTTTCCCTCCTGGGCTGAGGGGTGAGGAGAAGGATAGCAGTTGATTCATTCTTCTTTCAAACTTGTTCTCATCCAATTTGGTGTCCATGGAAGGGAGAACCGTGATCTGGAAGTCAGTGCAGAAGGGGTGCCCTGTTCTCGCTGGTGTCCCAAGCTCAGCTCTGCCCCAGGGTTCGGTGAGCCTCCTCCTGGGAGCAGGGGCTGTCTGTCCCTGTGTGGACCATAATAAGTAAGTCGTGCTCCGTCGGGCCGAGGGCTGGCTGCTGCATCCCAGGGCAGCTGCATCCCGAGAGGGCAGGCAGGGCTGAGGCGTCTGCACAGGACCCCCGAAGCCAAACAGCACGCGGGGAATTTGCAGCCATGCGCCTGGGCAGGTTCTACTCCCCTGCCTCTCTCTCCCCCTTGCTCTTTCTTCTCCCCTTGTCATCAGTTTTTGAGGTGAAGGTAAAAAGAGCAAATGTCCCTGATTTGTCTGACATCATCAGCTGTTCTGGGAGTTTACTTGGAATAAATAAAATAAACCTAGCAAAAGAAAACAAAAACAAGAGAGAGAGAAAGGGAGGGAGGAAGAAAAGAGGCCCCAAAACCTTAGGTTGTGAGATAAGTTGGGCTTTTGGTTTTTATGGGGGTTTTGTCTACTTTGTTTTTATCAGAAAAAGGAAAATGGCAGCCCAGAATTTTGAAGGGACAGGTGAGATGGGGGTCAGGGAGGATGGTCAGCAGTAAGCAGTATACCCCTAGGGGAGACCTGGGGAGGCCAGACACAGCGGTGAGCCGCGAATGTGTGGAGTCAGCACCCACTACTGTGGGATGCAGGGGTCGAGTCTGGCCTGGAGGCCTCAGATTCATCTGGAAGCCACGAGGGAAGAACCAGCGGTAAAATGATCGCTGACAAGCACTTTGGAGGGAACAATGCACCGCCTCCACGGCTGTCTGTTTAGTAAGTGCAATGTCCTTACGGCAGCAGGGAGCAAGATTATCCCAGTCACCAAAGAAGAGGCGGAGACTCAGAGGTGAGTGAGGATGAGGTCAAGCCAGGCACACACCCAGCGCTCAGGCTCCTTTTCCTGCTTGTGAACATTCCCAACAAGGAAGATCTTCCTGAACTTTAGGAACGTAGACTGCACCGGTCTTTTCCCCAAAGAATCCTAACACTTCTGAGCCTGTTCTTCATAACTGCCCATGTTGGTTTGTATCTCTTGTCCTTCCCAGAGAAAATCATTTCCAGATAACTACCTGCTAACTGATAAGGTGCTCCTTCCCTCTGCTCCTGCTTTCTTCTTGGTGGCATAAGAGCGGCTCCATTCCCCTACCTACAGGCCCCTAAAGTGACCTGACCCCAAGCCTTAAGGCCAGAGCACCCCCGCCCATGGGCTCACCTTTGAGAGGAGTCAGCAAGCAAGCCCACAGGTCAGTCTGCAGGGTGTTCTGGACACGATCTGTTCACTTCAAACCAGGAGTCTATGCAGCTGTGGGGAGAGGCCGCAAGAGAAACTGCATTACCTGCTGCCCAGGCTGTTTTGAAGGGGATCTTTCAAAGGGCCAGATTCCTGAGCAGGAGCTTCTGAAGCCTCTTCTGAAAGGACCCCAGGGAAACACAGTCATGTCTCCAGTCATCCCTACTTTCTGAAGCAGGAAGAAGAGAGAACACCAAGACTGGTCTTGGCCCAGCCGGAGACAGCATTGGTGGGTACATGCTCAGGGGGATCTGGTGCAGTAGGAAGGGGCAGAGCAACCCTGAGAAGGACCAAAGCTTTCTGTGCACAAAGCCCAGGAGAATGGCAGCAGCCACCATTGAGAAGGTGAGAGCGGTGGACCCCGCAGGTCAGCTAGTCAGCTGTCTCCAAAACTCCAGGGGCAGGGAAGTGGAAACAGTGGCATGGCAGGAAGGCCATGGCTGTGGGCGCTAGGGTCCTGAAAGAGCCCCTTCCTGGGTCAAAAGAACAGCTGTGAGGCTCCCTCCCAGTGGGTGACCTCTTAGGAGAACCCCAAGCTCTACCCCTCAGCCATGATCAGCTGATCAGCAGCAGCATCTAATCCTTCCTGCAAGAGGAGGGAGGGGAGCCAGACAGTGAAGCCCTGGTCTCCAGTGTTTACAGAAAAAGGCTCTCTGCATCAAAGAGAGAACAGAGTTTGCCCCAAGACAGCTTCCTGATTTGTAAACCAACATCTGGGCATTTTCAAAGACAGGAACCAGACAGATAATTTGCATAATTCTCCCCTAGGGCCAAAGATTTCCTTTTCTGGTTCTGGTTAATGTTTCCAGGGACACTGCAAGGCTCTGCGCTAAGAACTAGACCAAGAATCTCTTCCAGGCCAGGCTTGAGCCTCCTCTGCACCAGGCACGCCGCGTGCCGTGCCCGGTTGTCACCCTGTGCAGCAGTGGCCCTGAGAGGCAGGCTTTGAAAGACCTGTGTGTCAGGAAGAAGCTCTGGGGTTGAGGACTCAGACGGCAGGTTCTGGCCACAGGCAGCACAGTGTCCTCCTGTCTTGGGTAAGAAGGTGTCTTCCTTCCTGCTGAAAACGAGGAGGCTTACACTGGAGCCTGAGGATGAATCTGGGCCCTGCTACTTATAACTGCGCCCAGTACCCCTCAGGAAATGGCTCTTCCTGCCTCCTGGTCCTCTAGGGAGGCCAGTGCAAGGCCGTGGCACACTCTCTGCCTGGCCTTCCTCGTACAGATTGGCGTTCTCCCCGCCGTGAAGCAGACGAGCCCAGAGGGGAAGAAAAGGCAGGGAGACAGATGGAGAACCAACCTTCCTGGTGGGATCCTAAGCTCCTCCAACCTGTGAGGCTCTACAGGTCTTGCCATCAGCTCCTAACCCCAAACCCTCAAACCAGAGCACACCTCCAGCAACTCAACTCTCCCCTGTGCTCGGGATGCTCGCACCTTCCTGCAGCACAGTGGGTATCTGTGTGCCGGACTCTGCCCTTATCCACTTGGAGCCAGAGGTGGGAGGAAAGGTCATCCCATAACCAAAGGAGACAGAATGGCTGGAGATGGGGGTCTGCCCCTCTGGGAGGGAGATGCACTGAGCCACCCTGCCGACCCCTCCCCTACCTTTTGTGATAGATGCACAGGCAGGGCAGCCTGGCTATCGTGTCCCCCTGCAGCAGCTCCTCCAGGCAGATCACACACTCACCCGCGTCTTTAGTCAGCACATCATCTGCAAGGGGACAGAGGAGGGTGCAAGAGGGTTAGTCACCAGTTGACAGGTGGCACAGGGCAGGCAAGGGCCTAGCAACCAAGGGACTGCTTAGCTGCCCCAAGCTGTGCCCGGCTCTGTGGGGGACACAGAACCCCAAGAGGGACCTTGACCTTAAGATTCTCACTGTGGAGATAAGGCATGCACACCACATGTTAATTACTCAAAGACAAAATGGGATTAATCCCAACATACGATTAACCAAAAACTGAGGTAATGGCGGACGAAAAAGGCCTGGAGAAGGGTAGACGTGAAGCAGGGGCAGCATGAGGCAAGCTGTTTACCTCCACAGATGCTTTCTTAAACACACACACAGCTAGTACGCGGATTTCTGGTTTGGAAAAATATGGTATTGGGGAGAGTAGGAGGCAAGAAAGGGGGAAAAACAGGTCCCCAAGCAAATGTGTGTGCATGGAGGTTCACAGCAGCGATGTTCACAAGGGCCCAAAGGTGGAAACAACCCAGTGTCCACCAACTGCGCAACAGATAAACAAAAGATGTTGTTTTCCTACAATGGAATACTACTCAGCCAAGAAAAGGAAGAACCGCCACATGCTACGACATGGATAAATGTCAAAAATATTACACTTAGTAAAAGAAGCCAACTATTGTATGAACCCATTTTATATGAAATGTCCAGAAGAGATAAATCCACAGAGATAGAAAGCAGACGGGGATTGGGGACAGGGAGAAATAGGGAATGACTGCTTAATGGGTAGGGGGTTTTCTCCCCACCACCTTTTTACCTTTTTTGGGGGGTGGGGGGACGAGAGTCTCACTCTGTCGCTCAGGGTGGAGTGCAATGGCGTGAGTTCGGCTCACTGCAACCTCCAATTCCCAGTCAAGTGTTTCTCCTGCCTCAGCCTCCTGAAGAGCTGGGATTACAGGCAACCGCCATCACGCCCGGCTAATTTTTTTGTATTTTTAGTAGAGACGGGGTTTCTCCATGTTGGCCAGGCTGGACTTGAACTCCTGACCTCAGGTCATCCACCTGCCTCTGCCTCCCAAAGTGCTGGAATTATAGGCATAAGCCACCGTGCCTGGCCAAAAACTTTATTGTGGTAAGTCTAACATATGCTTTATCTTAAAAAATCTTCAAGTGTACAATACAGTATTGTCAACTGTAGTCACTATGTTGTATGGCAGATGTCTAGAACTTACCTTGCATAACTGAACTGATATACCCATTAATCGACCACTCCCCTTCACCCCACCTAGCTGCTTCTATGAGTTTGACTATTTTAGCTACCTCATATAAGTGGAATCACATTAGGAGTTTCTTTCTGGGGCAATGAAGTATTTAGAACCAGATAAAGGTGGGAATTGTGAATGTCCTAAATGCTACTAAATTGTACATTTAAAAATGATTAATTTTATGGTGAACTTCATCTCAATTTTAATTTAATTTTTTTTTTTTTTGAGTCTCACTCTGTCTGTCACCCAGGCTGGAATGCAGTGGCACGATCTCAGCTCACTGCAACTTCCGCCTCCCAGTTTCAAGCAATTCTCCTGCCTCAGCCTTCCGAATCGTTGGGACTACAGGTGTGTGCCACCATGCCCGGCTAATTTTTTGTATTTTTAGTAGAGATGGGGTTTCACCATGTTAGCCAGAATGGTCTCAATCTCCTGACCTTGTGATCTGCCCACACTGGCCTCCCAAAGCACTGGGATTACAGGTGTGAGCCATTGTGCCCAGCCTTGATCTCAATTTTTAAAAAGAAAGAAACAAAAGACTCTGCTCACCATCCCAAAAAGGAGTGGAATGAAGCTACTTGCACCCATGGGAACCCAGTAGTTTTTATTAAGTTCCTATGACATTTTGAATTTCACCTCATTTTTTAAAAAGAAAGAAACAGACCCCACTCACCAACCCACAAAGAAGGAACGGAAGGAAGCTACTTGTACCTGTGGGAACCCAGTGTTTGTATTAAGTTCCTATGACATTTTGTGTGCTGGCGACTCAATGAATAGCCATGATCTTGGGATTCAAGCAGCTCATATACTAGCAGGGAAGCTGAACAAGGAACCCAAAAGACACAGCATGGGGATTTCCAGTAGGTCTTCCGATGGACAGGCCCAGGTCCAAGAGTAAGGAGAAAGATACCTCATCAAGGCAGGGGCTGTTCTGGTAAGGCTTTAGAGAAGGTGGAGGATGGATGAAGCTGGGGTGGGGACGGGAGATTCTGGGCACAGGGAGCCTTGTGTTCTGCTGTGGTGCCTGGAGCTGACACCAAGGAGTGCGCAGTGGTCCTGTGCATGCCGATGGGGGCAGCAGGACCCACAGCAGATGCCTGCACTGCGGAAGGGTGTCCAGGAAGAAGGCATGAGAATGAAGGGACCAATTCTGAGCTGGGTGGAAGGAGGCCCGGCAAGCTGATGGTGACCTCCAGGAGGCTGCTGAAGCCTAGAGCTGAGGTTTGCAACAGAGACATGTGTGCCAGGCATAGATGTGAGATAAAGAGGCAGTTCAGGGAGAAAGTTCAGACCGAAATCCAAAGAAGGCAGAAGACAATCCCAGGCTGACATGAATATTTGAAGGGCAGGTCAAAGAGGTGACGTGAACAAAAGGTGACCCAAAGGTTCTCTAAGCCAAAGGGGAAATAACAGGAGAGCGGCGTCTCTGCTGTGCAGAAGGTAGAGCTTGTGGCAGGATCCCTTCTCCATCACTAAAGGAGCTTGACTTTCCCGAACACTGCCAGGGACAGACTGAGAGTCCATGTGCATGATTTCCTTTGAGCCTCACCATCTTCTGAGCTGGGCAGGGCACCCAGTGTTATTCTCATTTTGTGAATGAGGACCCGGAAGCCTAGGGAAGTAACATACCTGCTCATGAGAGGGCTCGCAGATGGTGGGGCTGGGACTGGGATCCTCTGTTTGAGAGGCTTTCCCACTGCTGTTTCTTTGTGTTCTCTGATTATTCTGGTGGAAAGGCAAACGTGTGGAACCCATAAAATGAAGATTCTGCATAACCAGAAGGCTATGGCTTCCATTCCTCAAAGCCCCCCTACCAGGAACCCCAAGGGACCCTGAAGTACCCAGGCACATGAGTTGTGAGAGAAATCACTCTCAGTTTCCTGGTCACCAGGACAACCTGTGGTCATTTTCTGTCTAGAACATCTAGCTAGCCCAAGGGCCCACCTGAAAGGGTGACACAAACTGAGAAGGGGAATGGCACAGAGTCCGCTGCTGGAGCATCTGTCCCCTCAGACTCCAAACGTGGCAAGCAGTGGATGAACACATGGGCGTGATCCCCCCTGCTTGAAAGCACTAGATACCATGCATATTCAAATGCATGTGTAGGCACAGATCAAATTCTGGAAGGAGGCGCACACTTTCACAGGGTGGAGGAAAGGAGGACTTGAAGAAAAATCCTTTTATGTGCTTCTGTAGTGTTTGAATGTGCACTACTTTAGTTAAAAACCCCAATAGGGAAGCAGACTGGTGTTTGCATTTTACGATGAAATGCACCAGAAGGATAAGATGGGTTGGTGGATGAATAAATGGGTCTAACATACTGCAGACTCCAGGTGGTACGTGTACTGTTTAATAGGGGCGTTCTCTATACAACACTTTCAACTTTGCTGTACACCAGGCACAGTGGCTCATGCCTGTAATCCCAGCATTCTGGGAGGCTGAGGCAGGCGGATCACCCGAGGTTAGAAGTAGAGACCAGCCTGGCCAACATGGTGAAACCCTGTGTCTACTAAAACTACAAAACTTAGCCAGGTGTGGTGGCACACACCTGTAGGCCCAGCTACCTGGGAGGCTGAGGCAGGACAATCATTTGGACCCAGGAGGTAGAGGTTACAGTGAGCCAAGATTGTGTCACTGAACTCCAGCCTGGGTGACAGAACGAGACTGTCTCAAAAAAAAAAAAAACATTAAAGCTTTGCTGTGTGTTTGACATTTTTCATAATAAAACAGAGGGAAACCCTCAACATAGAAGGGAGGTAAAAACAGCATAACTTAGTGAGGGCAGAGTCATCCTGCAGACATTCTTGGACCTGTATTCCCCACTCTCTTCGTCTTGCGCACCTCATTCATGACACAGGTATATGGGCTACAGTCCTTAGTTTCCTTCGCCTCCATACTTAAGGAGGAATTCCTGGGAACACAGCAATTACTGATTCCTAAGCAGTTTCCTTTTGCATTTTCTCCTACTGATTGGTAACTGAGAGCCCAAGGGACTAGTTATAATTCTCTGGGTCCCATACAGCTTCCCACACCAGGTGTGTTCTCTCCCCATCTGTGTCAGCTCCAGGAGGGCACATGTGGTCTCCCCATAGTCCCCCAGGAGGTGATGGATTCAGGGAAGGGAGAGGCAGGTATGAGGATAAGGCTTAGGCGCTTTATAACAAGACTGGGCTTGATTGGCTTGACTCTCCTTTCTTTTTACACTGAACCTTGGGGAAGGAGTAGGGGCAAGGGAAGGGGAAGGGAAAAAGGGAAGGGGGTGCGAGGGCGATTCTTCCTGTCCTGGGTGGAAGGCCTGTGTACTAAAGGACTCAGACTTGGGCACAGGAAGGTTAGAGGCAGCCTTTCCTCACCACTCCACAAGGTGGTTTTATGCACAGTGCAGGATGGTGCCTTACCAGTTGGCCTGAGGAAGAACTAAAATGTGCAGGTACCCCATCCTGGCTGGCACATGGCAGGGAGCACATTTCAGTGGGACCAAGAGCCACTGGCTGCAAAAGGCCACCTGGAGATTCCTGGGAATAGGGAGGAGTCAGGGGCTTAGACTCAGACAGCACGGGGAAGCCAGCAGTGCCCACCCAGAGCCCAGTGCCCAGGGAGCAGCATTCTTCTCCAGCAGAAAGCAGGAAGCACACAAACCCAGCAAGAGGTCGGAGTGGGCTGAGTACAACTTCCTGTCCCCAGCCCTGGGTCTGTGGGAGTCAGCAGCCTCTAGACATCCCTGGGATCCTGGCAGGGAAGTGGAAATGGCTGAAACTGATGATTGG